AGTGTTGTGTGCCTCTAATCATCCACCTTGAAGCCCGTCTCTGAATGTACAAAATAACGTTTACAGTTCATGGCTTGTTTGAGGATGCTCACAGATCTCATCCTACTTAAATGGTGGGGATAAAAAGATAGTTATGCAAGGCTTTTCTTTCTAGCTCTGATTGGATCAACATCTACTACAAGCAACAAATATCAACCTCTCAAGAGAAGGAGCACAGGAAGGGGATGTGGGTGTTAGTAGTGTACATGAAACCACTTGGTTTCCTTCTTTGTATGACCATAATACGAAAGAAAATCCCTCCTCACAGCCCTCACTACACCACACACTTAAGACTCCTCACAATGAGCTGAGGGTTGGGTGGGAGTTCATCTCCTCTCTGTGCTTCAATTTCTCTTGCTTAGGGAATTATAGAATGAGAGAGCAGATTTTTAACATTTGTTGATTATCCACTATGTGTCGCTTTGTATAAGACATAGGTAGTATCGGGCGGTGTCTGTGGCTCAAAGGAATAGGGCACTGGCCCCATATACCGAGGTGGCAGGTTCAAACCTGGACCTGGCCAAAAAAGAAAGGTAGTATAATCTTCATTTTATAGTTGAGGAAAGTGAGACTTGTGGTTAAATCATTTGTCTGAAGACACATAGCTATAATTAATAGATTCAGGACTTGAGCAGGGCTGTCCACTCTCAGAGCCCATGGTTTTTCCATGACACCAGCAATGGATAGTTATGAGCACATGGACTGCCCTCATATCTACTTTGTCGTACTTTGGAGGCTGGGAAGCCCAAGATCATGGTGTCAGTAGATGCAGTGTTGGTAACTGCAAAGTTGAGAACTGCTATGGACCACATATTTTAGTCACCCCCGAAATTTGTATGTTTAAACCTAATGGGATGGTGTTTGAAGGTGGAGCCTTTGGGAAGTGGTTAGGTCATGAGGGGAAGCCCTCACAAATGGGGCTAGTGGCCCCAGAGTGACCCCTATCCTTAGGCTCCTGCAAGGAGTACATGAACATTGACAGTGGTGGGCAGGCCAGGTTGATCCCCAGGCCCTCAGATGATGCATGCAGGTGCCAAAAGGCTGGATGGACCCATCATCAGGCCCCCAAATGGCACACACGCTAGGGCACCAGTTGCAGGCAGGCTAGGTCAGCAGTTAGGTTTTGCCAAGTGAGATTACAAAAAAAGGCAGCCCTCTTTGAACCAGGATATGGACCTTCACTAGAAATTACATCTACTTACACCATGCATGATCTTGGGCTTCCCAGCCTCCAAGGATGTAAGATTTGTTGTTCATAAGCAACTCAGCCTCTGATATTTTGTTAGAGCAATCTGAACAAATTAAGACAAGAATTCAAACTACTCAAGATCATTTTGGCTGAGAAATGTGTGGGTGACTGAGTAGAAAGGCTTGTGTAATGAAAGGAGAAAACTTCAGGATCAAATGGAAGGACCCCTCCCCCACCTCCGCTAGGTGATAGTGACAGGGATGGAAGACTCAGGCTTTATGGTGTTTCAGAAAGCATGCTGTGACCCTCTGTGGAACAGGATGCAGAGCCATGTGGACAGAAGCGGGATTGTGGTGATGGGGACTGGGTCATTATTTCTTCCAGTCTCTCAACTTCATTTTGCACAAGACCTCCTTACAATCTTGGACCAACACCCAGGGGTTGTGGGTAGGACATGGGACCCCTAAATTATGAATGCTTTAATTGAATACAGACCATCTGCCCCATGCCTGCAGCCTTGCCAGTGTCCCTCTATAAGACAGCAAGTTTCAGGTCATTAGTTCCTGAAGCCAGCTGCTCTTTGTAGGCTGGATGGCAGGTAGGGGAATCAGGCTGGAGACCTCTGGCCCAGCTGTCAGCAAGCCATAATGACCACTGGGTGGTCCCGACATCTGTTAACAGTCCCCTCCTGCTGCCTTCCAAGCCAATTATCAACATTTTTGTTCCTGCACGAACAGCTGGCATGGATATTTTGAAGCTCAGTGACACTTGGGAAGGACAGATTAAGTGAGCACTCAGTTTGTCATCTCAAGTCATGACCTTCTGACTTGTCAGCAAGGCCTGCCTGTTTCTGTCCTACTGGGATAAGTTGGCCAGGCAGGGTATCTTTCCCCTTGAGATGGCTGTAATGCCAGGAGAGTTGTTCAGCCTCTTCTGGCTGACTTCCTGTCTACATGACAGGGCCTTGGGTGGGATTAGAATCTATCAAGCCTGTCCTGGCAACATAACCTGTCTATCAAGTAAAACTGAGGGCAGTATTCTAATGCATAAGACAAATTAAACTGCTATTTTCTCTTTCAGAGTATGGAATGAAGTGGTGCTGAAAACTAACTACAATTTTCTTTTTTTTTCTTTTCTTTTTAGAGACAATGTCTCATTATATCTTATCTCCCAGGCTAGAGTGCAGTGGTGTCAGCCGACCTTACAGCAACCCTCCTGCCTTGGCCTCTCAAGTAGTTGAGACTACAGGCACCTGCCACAATGCCCAACTAATTTTTCTATTTTTAGTAGAGATAGGGTTTCACTCTTGCCCAGACTTGTCTTGAACTCCTGAGCTCAAGGTATCTTCTTGCGTCTGTTGCCCAGAGTGCTGGGATGCCCAGCCCTCCTAAAATGTTTCTTAAATAAAGGAAAGGCCCTGGGGAAAGGTATTACATAGTACAGGGCCTTTGGAGCCTGTAGGACAAGAGGCCTGAGGAAGATGACACTCCCTCCAAGTGGCCCAGGGTGGTAGAGCTGGCTGCCCAGACAATCTACAGAGCCACCAAGGAGCTTAAGGACAGATCAAGGTCAGCTCCTTCCCAACTGAGTGAGAATGTTTTACAAGTCTCTCAGATGGATCAACAAACCGAGGAAGGCACTTTATAAAGGCCCAGCCAAAGTGCCGAGTGAGAGCTGGGGGTAGGGGGAGGTCACTGTTCTCTTTATTCTGCCTTTCAGGGCAACTGTCAGCTGAACAGAAGTGGTGTGTTTACCTCCGACTCCTGCCTACCACCACAAGGAAAAGAATTTCATGGGCTGCTAATTTGAGGAGGGCTGGATCACACAGTGTGGAGATGCTTCTCAGACTGTTCAACATACCAGTATGCACATACCTCTCCCTAAGATGGATACACTGAAATACCTCAAACTTGGGGGTCCACAGAAGACTTTCTAGGCAGGGTCTATGATGTAGGCCTGGTTTTAGGAAGGCAAAATACAAAATACTTCCTTATAAACATTATCTCAATTAGTTACTCATCTAAAACACAGCTTACCTATAGCAGCCACAACCCTTGGTAGTATCTGGAGAGAGGTAGGTACTTTTTCTCACTGAGTAGAACTAGATTTTAACACAAAGGCTCCTCTATCCACAGGGGACAGATGCAGTCCCAGGTTAAGCAGCGTTAGCACCAGCCATGTACTTACCTTGGTAAAGTGTCCATCTTTCTTCTCACCTTTGGCAGTTTTCTCCTTTAAAATGTGTCATAGAGCCAAAAACACCTTATGTCCTTGGATAACATCCAATTCCTGGTTCTCTTGAACAGGTCACGTCACCCTCCTCTCAAGGCTGAATGAGTACACAAGTACTCCCTCCAGAACAGAAACTGTCTCTCCCCTCTTCCCCATTCCCCAGCACAACAATCAAAACACAGGCCCAAATTTATTTTTATTTTGCATACATTGGAAACAGAATCCTATCAAAAGAGAATAAAGAAGAATGTGCCCAGTGTGGCACAGGGAGAACATACACACATCTGCCTCGAGTTTCCCCCTCACCCCTGCACAGGACGAGGGGACATAGGGGAGGGGGATGGGACGCACCAAAGGATACGGCACCAGAAGCAGGACTTCCATACACATTGGTGTTCACAGTAGCAGGATTCTAAGTGGGCTCCAGGGATAACACGATTGACCTTATACAAACATGGGAATATGGCTCGGCGCCTGTGGCTCAAGTGGCTAAGGTGCCAGCCATGTACACCCAAGGTGGCGGGTTCGAATCCAGCCCGGACCCGCCAAACAACGACAGCTGCAACCAAAAAAAATAGCCGGGTGTTGTGGCGGGGGCCTGTGGTCCCAGCTACTTGGGAGGCTAAGGCAGGAGACTCGCTTGAACCCAGGAGTTGGAGGTTGCTTTGAGCTGAGATGCCACGGCACTCTACCCAGGGGGACAGCTTGAGGCTCCTGTCTCAAAAAACAAAACAAAACATGGGAATATAAAACTGGTGATTCCTACCCATCATCAGCCACTTGAGCTCATGGGTTATCAGAAAGATAAACAAAATTTAGTCCTGGATGTTCAGGTGCCTGACTGGGCTCCAGGGGCAGCATTTAGTGAGCTTCTTCGAGAAACTGAGGTTAAAAATACAAAACAAATGATCTGGAGGAAGAGGAACGCTGGGACCCAGTCTCAGTTATAAACAGCAGAAGTTGTGCTTTGTTGTCTCATTTAAATTGAGACTTGGGGAGGGCTTGCAGTAGGCTGGGAGGTCAGAGGTCATACGAAATGTTCATAGCCACCTGCAGCAGCAAGTGTGTGCAGATGGCATTTCCAGGGCTGCTCCTGTGGACTCCCTGGGAGGTTCTCAGAGTCTATGTCCTTACAGTAAAGTCAGTCCAAGTGGCTACTTGGGCCCCTTTCTCCTCCCTCACACCCAGGCAGAGTGTGGATGTTCAGCTTCTTGGTCTGGGGAATAAAAACACCCATATCCACTCAGGGGCGATGTCTTGGTGCTCTAGTTCATTGACTAACAAATTCAATAGGCACTAATTAGCTCCTCTGAAACCTAAGTGCCCCTACCCCACCCAACAAGGCTCCCACAGCCTTTTAGATAACTGGGCTGAGCAGCCCCGAGCTCAGTGCACATGACACTGCAGGTCTCAACAGAGGTCACGTACACCAGACCCGACCACCGTGTGCTGGACAGAGCTCCTGTTACACGTGCTCAAGGTCTTGGGCTGACATGAGATTCTTACCCTGGGACTTGAATTCCCAACTGCAGCTTCTTTATTCTAATTTTGATGACATGGTCAGTGCTTTTTCTGACTTTTCCTTAACAAGCTCCTCCTCATCAGAGCCTAATGCACACCCACCTTTGGGAAACATGCCATGCCAGGCCCAGGATGGCTGGTCACGCAATGCTAGCACACTGTGGTATAGTGTCTCCCTCTGAGAGTTGCTATGACTTCACAGCCAGATGTGGCCCTCTGCCATGAAACTGCCTTGGGAAGGGTATAGATGCGTTATGGGCCTGAGAACACACCAAGAAAACACATGTCTAGACTGGTCTCAAAGCACAGAACACCACACATGTCCACAAACACACCACAAAAGGAGGCAGCATTTTTTCCCAAGTCAGACCAAAATCTCTCATAAAATACAATGTCCTAGTTTGGAGCAAGAAGCGATTTCCCGTATCTAAATGTCTTGCCTTAGTGATAACTGCAGATGCCCAGCTTAGGCCTGACTATAGACTGGCACCCTCTTCCCTGGCAGTGAGAGGGAAACCCATCTCCAGGATGTGGACACACAACAGCAGGCTGGCTCTCAACTCAATGTCTGACCGCTCCTGGACAGAAGAACAGATGTGAGGACCATGGGACCTGGAACAGTGGGTGATCTGCCTGTCCAGACTGACCAGACCCAGCTCCTCCCCGTGTCTCCTGCACCTTCCAGTTCTGGGCTCCTCCTCTGACAGTCTCTCTCCTGAGGGTCTGGTCATACCACCCTAAGAACATCAGCCCTTGGGGACTGTCACCACACTCCACCAGAGAGCACAGATTCATCAGAAGCAGAAGGAACAGGAGACAGTGTGGCTTCATAGATTGTTTTCCACAGAAAACTTGAAAGAGGCTGTGTTTGCTCCGAAGACAGTGAAGAAGAGTATGTCTCAGTAGCCATCAGCCACCTTGGGATGCAGTGATGGACCAGAGAAGTGGGTAGCAGCCTCCCCAATTCCCGGCGCACCAGCGCCCCCTACTTGGCCTTCACCACTTGCTCATAGGGGGGTGGAGGTGTGCTGCAGTAGGAAGGCGGGGGTGGGTAGGCTGAGCTCCCTGGGGCTGGGCTGGGCTGGACCTGGAAAGCCATTGCCATGGTGCTCCCGACAGGATTCAGCCCCAGTCCTCCTGGGTCAGTGTAAAATGGTGGCCCCGGCTGCTGGGATCCTGAAAGACAAATAGCCATGTATGAGCAGAGATGAGACAGCCTGCTGTCATCACCCCTGCACAGGCCTGGGCTGGAGTGGGTGGCAGCCATGCCCCCATCAGCATTCAACCCAAGGTGTTAAGGACCAAAGGTTCCAGCCAGAGCAGGGCACTGGGCTACCTGGTGATGCAGTCTCTGTCCTCACCGAATGCTGATTCCATGGGAACTGGCACACATTGGAAATCCAGGAGACCAGGCTTCTGCACTAACAGAACAATGACTTTCTGAGCTTCCTGCTCATGAGGACAAAGCATCATTCATCTTGGTGCCTATATCTGGCATGTGGTAGACCGTCAGTATACACATGAGGTGGATGCATGGTTATGTATGATCCAAGCTTTGTCTCTATGCTGGGTATACTCGGCAATTTCCTGCAAAACACCTGCTTCTAACGTGACAGGAGGCGCTGGCTGTACCGATTCAGCTGTCTGAGGGGCACCCAGCCCCTTGCTCTCCATCTTGGGTGGTGTGGGTGAGAATGTGGTCTTTGCAGCAGAGAGGTGCTCAGCTGTGTTTGTGACATCCCTCTGTGAGGCCCCTCACTTTGATGACTGACATCTGTGTCCAATGGAACTGGCTTTTTCATGTTAATAGTCACAGCTCATAGATACTGCCAGGAATTGATAGGATGGGACTGAAATATTTGAACATGGGGATGGAGAGAGGCTGTGACTTATGAAAGAAACAACAGAGCAGAGATGGACAAATTATGTACTTGTCAGGGACATGAACTCTTAGGTGAAAAATTCAGCAACCATGGGATGGAACATGCCTGGAAAGCCTGTGGTTGAGGCTAAAGGGCAACAGGAACAGATGCTGCGGCCATGCGGCCAGATGGAGGCAGTGAGGCAAGAACCAAAACAGCTCAACCAGAGGACGTGGCTCTCAAGGGACATACCCCCTCCAGAAACCTGCTGGATTTCTGCTCATTTGACCAAAAGTCAAAATCCTGACAAGACACTGAGCATGGTGACCACTCAGGCTCCCAGTAAAAAGAGAGATGGTGAGAAGACGGACTCAATTCTGGCCAGGGCAGAAAGACTCATTTAGGGAAAGGAAAGGCAGGGTGACCCCAGCCCTGCAGTGAGAAAGGGGTATGCTCACCTGCCTCCTGAATGCTCAGGGCTTACCCTCATAGGCCTCAAAGCCCTCACAGCTTAAAAAGGCTGAGTGACCCTCTTAAGATCAGCAAAGAGGCACACAGGTAGAACCCAGAGCAGCAGGCCCACATCCTGACATACATACAATTTCTGCTTTTATACATATATTCAGAGTTGCTCTGTAGTGCAAAATTTAATAAAATCTTTTAATTATTTCACTCATTTTTTATATTTTAATCAATGCATTCATATTCCTATGGTTTCCATTATTCTTTCTTCCTAAGTTTTACTTTTATATACTTTTAAGATTTATTTACTACATCGGATGTTTTTACCAAGGGTATTTTCATCAGTATTAGATAAGATTTTCTTTTTATATACACATGTTAATAAATCCATGGAATATTTACTAAAAGACAAATAGAAAAACCTGCCAACTGTGGGTAAGCAGGAACAACATAGGAAGATGACACTGGATATTTCCCTGTGAGATCCAGATATTATCCATTACCATAAAGGACCTTCTTCGGCTTTCTGGGATTGAGGGGAGGTTAAAGGGCATGTTGGTGTCAGGTCCCCAGCCATTGAAGCCAGCATCAGGGTCTGCAGAGAGTGCACAGTGATTGCTGCTATGAGGCCTGTGCGTGGCACTCCACACCAGGAGAGAAGAGGCAGATTCTGAGGTACAGCGGCTGGGTAAAGGATAGAACGTCTCTAGCAAGCATTCACACCTTTTCTTTCCTGGTTGCATAAACCAGGATTGAGGGAAGAGAACTGTTTTGCCCACTACCAGTGATCTTTAAAACAGCAACAGAAAGAACTGTGCAAATAAAGAGAATTCTATAGTGTCCCACTGAGCGCACCCTAGAGTATAAAGCAGAGACTGTGGCAAAAGCAATCACTTTACTCCCACAGAGACAAGGACTGACTTTCCCTCCAGTCCCATGGATTTCAAAGGTTCTTGCAGTTTTTATTGCTCACCCTGATGACATTATTGCACTACTGCAATAATGGGTCCCAGGGTGAGCTGTCTCTGTGCAGCTGCTACCAACACCTAGGGGTCATGTTAAGAACACAGGTCTGAGGTGGTGCCTGTGGCTCAAAGGAGTAGGGCGCTGGCCCCATATGCCGGAGGTGGGGGGTTCAAACCTAGCCCCGGCCAAAAACCGCAAAAAAAAAAAAAAAAAAGAAAAGAAAAGAAAAGAAAAGAAAAGACATAGGTCTGATTCAGCAGGGTGGGTAGGGACAGAGCCTGAATGCCTAACATGCTCCTAGAGACGTGTGTCCTCAGTCCACACTTGAGTAAAAGGACAGAGACACTGCTGAAGTGTTTGGTCGTGGTAACACAGCAATATCACCACCCTCCTTACAAAAGGGGAGGCTGAGTCACAGAGAGATTTGGGTCCCTCCCTTCACCTAACCAACCCTTTAGCAAGTCCCAAGAGCACTGAGCCCAGGATGGAACTCCTATGCCCCACTTCTCTGCCCCTTCCCCAGCCAAACCATGGTACCTCTCTGGTTCCTTTTCTTAGAGAATCTGACTCTCTGCATGTCAAATCATCTTTAACCATGCCCCTTCTTGGCTAAACACCCTCTTATGAATCCTGGCTGCCTACTTGGTACTACCTCTGCAGCAGCACATGACTACTGACTGCTGGCCTCTTCCTTCTCAAGGAGAGCTCTAGACAGGGCGCCCTCACTGCCACATGCACTGCAGGGCACCCTCCTCTGCTATCATATTGTGCTTGCTTTTATGTTTTCTTGCTGTTTCTCATCTAATATCTTCTCTTCCCCCCCCTTTTTAAACTTTTATTCCTATATTTGACAGTGATTTAGAGTGAGGACATGTTGGTTTTGATTTTAAGAGTAGATACTATGAAGACAGACAAGAAACTGCCAGACTGCAGTCCTAGACTTCCTTCTGTAGAAATTTAGCCCAAGAACCCCCCCCCCAACTTTTCCAATTGCAGAAGTCTCGGGGGGGGGGCATCTCTCAATTTTTTTTCTTGAGATATTTAGTAAGATAAACATGTAGCAAAACTAATTAAGAAAAAAAGGAGTAAAAAGGCACCCCCAAAAATAGAATGAAAGGGAGAAGAAATTATTAATTCTCCCCCAGAGTCTCCAGAGAGAATGAACCTGCTGATTTGAGATGCTGGCCTCTAGAACTGTGGGAAAAGAAATTTCTGTTATTTTAAGCCCCTGAGTTTCTTGTGATATGTCAGGACAATCCTAGGATACTAATACAACACAAGCCTCCCTTCTCCCCACTATCAGTAACAAAGACTCACGCTGACCTCTAACACCTGGGATAGTCCCAAAATAACAAAACCAACACTGCTACCAAAACATAATCACTAGAAATATGGTAGTTTAAAATGTTACGAAGTTTTTTCTGTTTATTTGTTTAGGACCAGCCCTGAGGTTCTGTGACCTTATCAGATCACCTTTTTTCTCTCTCCTTCCTTGCCTATGATCCTCAATCCAAGGAGAATTAACAAAACAGCCCTGTGGCTACATGCTCAGTTCAAAGTCTTCCATCTTTATTTACAATAGCAATGCCACTTCCCACTTGCTAGGATCCCTATAGCTAAGCAAAGCTTAAAACATTGACACACAGCAAATAGCAGGCTGAAAAACACTATTTCACAGGCTTTTGAAGTATTTTCCCAAGTCATTGGAAGCCTTTCAAAAAAGAGAAAACATTAGAGGAAACAAAGTTTACTGGGAGTAACTAAGGAGGTCAATGGCAGATGAAAAGGAAAATGCCCATTTCTGATGTGGCTGCAGGAGAGAGAGGGCTGAGCACCTGGTGTTGCAGAGGCAGGTGCCTGCAGGGTCCTGGGCCTCCTGTACCAGGAGCCCCATGAGGACCAGGAACAGTTGTGTCAAGTCTGAAGAGGGGGAAAACCTTAGAAGAACAGTCTCAGGAGGCAGCTCTGGAGATTAATGCTTACATGGACACCTCGGTGTGGAGTTGGCCACACCATTCCCCAGCCCTGATGATGAGACAGGGTGACACTCTCAGCCCACCCTGACATAAGACACACGAGGCTGCACCACCCTTATCAGCTTCTCACTGGCAGACAGCACTGGATCTTCTCTGCCATTTTCAGAGGTACTTAGTAATTTTTATTTGGTGTCCCCTTCTGCACTCAGCTCTTAAACTACTCCCCCGATCCAAGACCCCAACCCTAGCTGTTTGGGCCATGGGGCCAAGAGCAGCCATGCAGACCTTATGCATCTCTGTGGGCCTTTCTGGGCTGATGGGGAGGCAAGAGCATGACTGCCTCCCACAATATGCCCTTCATTGCTTCGTGGATTTGTGCACAGTTGGGGTTGCCTATTTGCATGGTTTCTCAGAATCCCAGAGTCCTCCTCCATCCCTTGTGATGCTAACTATATATCAATAGTCATCTGTAGAAAGCTCGGCCAACTGCAGGGCATGCAAGCTTTGTAGCATGGGCAGGTGAGGGCTGAATTCAGGTGTATGATAGAATCCCCAGCTCCTACAGGCCCCTGAGCAGGTGGGCAGTAACACTGGCTGAGTGGACCATATAGGTGGGCCCAGGCTGCAAAGTACCCTGGCCCCAGGCTCACCAGGCTACAAACCTATGGGCACCTGCCCTTTACATGGCCGGTGGACCTGGCCCAGGGGGAGCATAATGCACAGAAAGGACCGAGGCCCACTACAGTGAGAGCTGTCACAGCACCTGGCAGGGCACCCCTGGGCCAAGAGTGAAGGAAAGGCAATGGCCAGGGACAATTTCACTGTGGGGCAACACAGAGCAGCACCTTGCAGGACTGGGGAGGAGCCAGCAGGCCAGGAATATAGCAACTTAAGTGAGAACCATGTGAGC